AAGGAGCTGCATTTCCTCTTCAACGGGCAGAAACTGCTTGAGTTCAGTTGATTCTTATCTTGGTTTGAGGCAAAGTTGTATTTGAAAGCTGTCTGCTGGGGCTGCTACAGGAAACAACCTGCAGGAAGGTCACTGGGTATGAGAATGGCTAAGACAAATGAAGGGTAAAACTTAAACTAGCATTTCATTAGTGTGGAAGTTCTCACAGAGCTGGGCTGTGCCCCTGCCCTGCAGGGGGCTGTCCCTCTGCAGGTGTGAGCAGGGCCACATCTAGATTTCAGCTGCCCATGAGCCCAGCAGCAGCTACCCTCAGACCAAGGCCCTGGTTAACCTTTTTGCTTCTCTTTTTAGCCTCTGGTCTGTCTAGAAATGTGTCTCCAACCCTGCACCTCCACAGGAAGTATCACACACCTGATCAGAATATAAACCTTAAATTATTTCAACATTTTACTTTTCCAGTAAGTTTTTGTTCTTGTAATTCCTGGCACAAAAACCACTCCAAGTCAGGCTCACAGTTTGAATAAAGCAGATCTATTTCAGCACCATAACATTTTATTAAACTACACTATCAAAATCACATTGATGGCAGGGAGAACATTGCTATCAGTGCATATTTCCTGTACTAAGACTGTATCCACAGCATCCAGCACCTGCTGAGGAAAAGGACACTGAAAGGGAATCCTTCATAGCCAAAGAGACAGTAGAAAACTTCTACAAAAGTCAGGGCAGTTGGGGGCTGGCTGAAAGAGATCCAAAGGAAACACTTCAAGTCAAATCAGGGCAGGTTATTTTTAAAAAGTTTACAGTTAACTGGTGTTTATTAACTTCCTCATCTGAGAGATGAAGATGATGCTGCTAAACAGCAGATTTTAATTAGCATCCCCTGTCCCTGCAACTGCCTGTGCACAAACCCACACAAATATTGTGTACTGCTCCTCCACTGGTGACCTGTGATGCACACACCTGAATACAACAGCTTGAAGTGTAACTACAGTTATAAAAACCTGCTTCATCTTCTAAAACAAACAATAAAAAGTAGCAGAAATACATTCTATACAGAGGTAAAAAAAAACAAACCATAATAATCCAAGGAACCCAAACAGTCGAGTTCCAGACAAACAGCAGTGACACCAGGTTGAACTGAAGAAGTCTCACTCCTAACACCTACAGACCTATCTCTACCCCCCCGAGCTGCTGCTCCGTGAGAGCCCACGGCAGCAGCTCAGAGCTGCTCTCTGGCACCACCAGGACAACCAGCAGCCTTGTCAGGCAGGAGTCCCCAGGAGGAGGTCACCTCAGGAGGTGCTGGTGACCAGCCCTCCCCAGG